AGTTTGGAACAGTAGTTCCTATCTACAGCCTCATTGCAATCTCATGGCAGATGTACTTGCACTCTTGTTTGGGCCTTGCAGTGCTTTTCAAGACAAGAGAGTCTTGCAGATCATTTGCAGTCTCCTTTGTAATGTCACTTAAATTTCTAAATTGTTAGGAAATGGAAGCTGCCTTTATTCTCAACAGATATTGTTGACACCAATTTTGCAATACTTCTGATTTACAACCAAAATGTGGAAGAAAATGTTGTTTGACTGTTGCTTGTTTGCAGGGGAAATTATTACACAATATAGTTTAATTTTGTTCATGTATAATTCACAATAGAATACAGTAGTTTACATAATATTGTAAAACTATCAAAGTGATAAAGTTGAACTTTCATTTCATAAGTGGTTTGGGAATGTGCAACCAAGCAAATAGTCATTAATATTCAGGCGTACATATGAAAAGAATTAACTCCCACCCTCCGGATATCCAATAAATGTCAAGTCATAAGTAGTTCACACGCAGACCTTTCTTCCTTTGAACAGAAATGATGACATCACTGTTGACTGTATCTCAATTCAAGTCAAATGCATGAAATCCTGTGGTAACAAAAAGAACACATCATATAGAACTATTTGCAAAGAATAAAGATAATCACTCATAAGTTATTATGACTTCTTACTTGACCTTTCTGATAATGACAGATTGTTAAAAGGGTTCCTTTCTCGCTGAGCTTGCGTTTACAATTATAGATTAGATATTTCACCCTTTTTAGATTTAGCTCAGTCCAGATAAAGATAGCCAACTTTGGTTCACCTGCAATTAAACCAAGAAGCAATTAATATTTTTTCAAGATATCAGATTTCAAACTTTAAAATAACTTAAAAAAAAGAGCTTACGCTGAGTTTTCTCCTGCAATGCAAATCGTAGTTCGATCACAGCTGGTATCTTCACTTGGTTGTCCAGCCTGCTTCTTGTAAATGATATTTGTTGAACACACATCCTTGGGCAATTAAAAGAAAATATCATCTTTTAACTATTATGGAAGAAGAGATCAAAACATTACAAATAAGCTATTTATACATTTTACCTGTCATAAGATCAATGGGGTGGAGACAACAAAATCTTACAGCGAACATCGTCTCTATTCCCAAACTGCTTGGGTTCACATGTCTTTCAAAACAATCCTGTAAAATAACAAAAAATTAAATAAAGTAATAAAACTTTAAGAGCTTGTCTTTTGTTATAACCTATATTCCACACCATTTACCATACGTTTAAGGTAATATTGTTTATTTTTGCCACATTCAGTCAAAGAGGTTAACCTAACCTAAAATGCTGCACTATCAACCAAAAACGGATGCTCACAGTTTTAGTAATATGCAACAGATAAAACTCGAAAATGCGCAGAACCCTTGAGGGCTGTGACATGGAAGAATTATTCAATCCCCCAAACCTTATGGAAAGCCTAAATTCACATAAGATTCCAAGAGTCCAACCCACCTTACAGGCTTTCTGGTGCCAAGTTGAAAGAGCGTACCGTACACAAGCTTTGTGAGCAATCCGAATGTTTGAAACACATATTTTATCTTCTTGCTGAATAGATCTAAAAATAATAGATTCTTTAGCATTTAAAACGAGTTTGTTTACGATACATTTTCAACAGCCGGTACCAAATTCGTAGCAGACGAGCAACCTTACCAGCGCCTTGGAGCGGAGCGCACAACAGCCACTGCCACTCCGGCTTCTCGAACAGCTGAGCCGTGTTTATTTACTCGGTGGGGCGGTGGAAAGAGGTTATGAATCCCATAGATTTCGCTTTTGTTTAGTCTTCCAATACGCATTTAAACCAAGACTCGAGATTATTCAATCAAATATTTCCCTTCGAGAGTAACAAGTACGTGACAAATGTTTAAAGCGCAGTGCATGTTGCTCTTCACATTGTTCACATACTGATATTTTTGTTTCAGGAATGTTTCAGCTGCTTGTCAAGTTTCATGGTTTGACTAAAATTATCAACGGTCGTTAAACGCGGTAGAATGGAATGACCCACTACTCTAGATACGGAAATTAAGATTGGACTGAAGGTTTGTGAGGAAGAGGTCGGGTTCCACTGTGCATTGTATTGTGTTATGTCAAT